CTGTTAGTAAATTTGAAATGGAACGTAATGAAAAATCATTAAATCTACTATTAAAAACACGTCCAAAAGATGTCTTTGATGTATTTAAACGTCATTGTGATATAAATTTAATCACAAGTATCTATGTTGATGTAGCTAAACAACAAAGAACAAAACGTTTAGAACGTGAACAAAACTTAGCTGTTTTAGCTATTAATCAACCAGTAATCATTTATCGAGGGAAACGTCTTAAACAAACAAAACGATCAGGTTTAGGAAAAAGAAAGGAATGAAAAGTTATTGGAAATGCAAAGAAAAATCGAAGAAAAAAACCACGGAATAAAACAAGTGAAGACATGAATGACTTTTAGTTGGTTTGTTTTTTGCAATAGATCGTTGTTATTCCTTTTTTTTGTTGAAAGAAATTCAATAAAAATTTATTGTTGAGAAGAAATTCATAATCTCGATTATCACAAATAAAAATGAAAAATTCACCCGTCATGAAAAAGACTTATTTGTAAACAATAAGATATGCTGCATAAGCTTGATCATCACGATATGTGACGAAGATATGTTTTCCATCAGTTGTTGAATCATAACCTGAAGGTGGTGTTTTCATGTGTCGGTTTCCTAGTGCACTATTACCTACTAATACATTTGCCACAAACATACATCGTTCACCGTTTAGCATACTTGGCCTAGTATGATCGTGACTATAAGAAGCGTCTGCTGAAAAATAAGCTCCTTGTCCATATATGACATCTTAAAATAAATTTTTTGTTTTACAAAAAGATTTTTAAGCAAAACAAACTGACCATTAATTCCAGGAAACGATCGATTGAAAAATGTATTAATAATGAGTGAAGCTACTTCTTATGAACAACCATGAAATAATTTTTTTTCTTTATTTTTCTTTGGTGAGAAAGTTTTATAGAAATTGTATTGCATATACCATTGTTTATTTCGGATACGATCTATACGAACTATTTCACTATATTGTTTAGCCATTGTTTTGTCAAATAAAGCACGAACTTCATTGTATTCAGTTGAGTTAACTTGTAAGGGAAATTGTGCAATATTTTCCGATTGAATGTCCCAATGTTCTGGCAAATCAAAATCGGCATATCGAAAAACTGGACGCTTTTGCCCATTATTTACACACATTTCAGTCATAGTTTTGAAATCAATGACATATTCTACAGAGTTATCGTCGGTAAAATGAAACTAAAAATATCATTTTCTTAAATGCATAGTAGTCCAACATAATAAACAAGTACTGCAGAATAAATTAATCTCACGTCACAACATGGTGCCTAGTACTGTTTTATTTATCTCACTTAGTTTTCAGATAATAAATAATACAAAAACTGCAATATGTTTTATTTTCTAGTAACAAATCACTAATACTACTATAAAAACATTTTTCGAGACTAGATTTACTGAGGAACTTAATTCATTGGCTTGCCTGTAGAAAAAGTGAAAAATTCATTGCAGCCTAAAGAATGCTTGCTGTTTCGAAAATAGAAACTCTGTAAAAAGATATCATTATAATTAATGTTTGTAAATCTGAGAAGAATTTATTAGCATTAATTAATAGCTTCGAAATTGATCAAAACATTAGTATTACAGAGAAACTAACGTTTGGTGAAAAAGTCATGTTCTGATTAAGTCCATGCTGAAAGTAGAAAATTTTGGGTATAGCCTTATGTTACTCTATAAAAAAGGAAAGAATAGAAGAGAATCATAGAGCTGAATAAAATGAAACACATAATATATTGATATGAGTAGATATGTGATTTTTCTACCACTATCAATCGTATTTGTACTTGTCTTAAGCTAGTTTGCACTCTTTAGCAACCTTGATAAGTACTATACAATGGCAAAAGTAACACTGATTGAATGATTGAAATCTGCGATAAAAGAGCAGGTGAATGCTGTAGTGATCAGGTTCTGTGTAAAACCTCGAGAAAGCGATAGAATCTTAAAAGGAAGAATATGGCATTCGCATCCAGCGACCGACATTTCTAATGCTGCTATAACCAAGCATTGTCAATCACTGGATGGGAATGTAGTATTCCTGCTTTGAAGACTCAATTATTTGTGGCAGTTTTTCGACCAGAGTCCTCCAGATCATAACTAAGTGATTATTTATAATAACAACAACAAAAAGAACGATAAGGAAATGATCAATGAATATTTTTGATCCACTACAGGGCGATAAAGTTCTGTATCAATAATGCTCAAACGAAATATTTTCTTACATGATTATATCTGCCCTTACAGATGGTACTCCAGATGAAAATGATTCTTCGATATGAGCGTTGAATTTAAGTGAATATTTTTCAGTGTTGGTATCATTTAATTTATATGCCCAAATTATATTTCGTGCAATAGCCAGTAAACGTGCTTGTTCACTTTGTTTTGTTTGTTCTCTATAGTATTCAATTTCACATTCTTTTGTTGCTTCTTTTGGACCGGATAATTTAACATGACCCATAGGAATATCTATATCAGGTATTACATGTCGATCCAGGCAATACTTATAGAAGTCAGTGATAGCTGGTTGTGTCCATCTTTTTAATATGTCTTGTTGTAACATTTTCCAAACTAAAATTGATTTCTGCACATGATCATTCAAAGCTTTCTTACATTCTTCTTGCTTCTCTCTATTCGATGATAGGATTGTTATTTCAAGTGGTAGATAAATAACCGAAAAAACTTCAAAAAAAAAAGACAATTTTGGTTGATATTTACTTGTAGAACAATAGAGAATTTCAGTATCCTTCGTTTCTACTTCTCCGTTTTGTAAACTTTCGAGTTTTGCTTGAAACGCTTCAAATACATCACTTTGCTCGGGTAAAATAACAAAGATTATTTGCAATAAGACATTAGCTGCTAATAATTGTTTTTGAGCTTCAACTAACATTTGATTTGCAATGATATTTTTATCAACATTGAATTTTCCATAACTAATTGATGGAAATACGATTGAAGTATAATGTGCCTTAATAGCATGTTGAACAGCTTTACGAACCAAATTTCGAATTGATTGATAAAAAGCTTCTTCACTTGTTCGATCCATTTCCCAAGGTAAAAACAAAAGTTTTCGACATTGTAATTGTCCCGCATTTGTTTCGAAAGGTTCCATCGGTGATGCCATTGCGGCTTCAAAATATTCTTGTTCCACTGATTGACCGGCTTTTTTGAGAATATTGTCTCGCAGAGATATCGATGTGGAACAAATAACAACCAGGTCGACCTGAAAAAGTCTTCAGAAAAATATGTATATTCCTTCTTATCCTAGCCTTATTATTGATACCCTCTGATCAGCAAGATCATTCTGGTGTATTTCAATAACTGCTGCTGATAATTCATTCGAAATGTGATCGTGCTTTGTAGCTTTGGGTATTTTACAAATATAATTGGTATTGCTCTCTTGTATTTCGACCAGACATTTGTGTTGACGAGCAATATTTATAATATTATAACATTCGTCATGTGCTATTGTACTGAAAGCTTGCTCTTCAATTTTCATATCAATTGGTGAACATAAAGTATCTAATGTCATGATTTCTTGCTCTATTTTTTCATGTGAATAACTTGGAGCTGTAAATTCTCCATTTTTTAAATTATCAAGGATTTTTGTATCATCACAATGAGCTTCAAGTAATTTCAATTCATCATAATAAACATTGAAGAGGTATGTAATCTACAGAAAACAAGAAATTTCTTTTTCTTTTCTCAAGAACTACTTCTCACCTGTCTTGGTTCTAAATTGAGTTTGACTGTATTTGATGCGTATTTTGTCTTGATTGTTTCTAGTTGTTTTTCCGTTTCTTTCCCAATATCAGCTAAACCAAACAAAGGAATGCGTCGCTGTTCAATTATTATTAAAATAGGTAGAGATTGCATTTTTTATTCGATTTTTCGAATATCTTGTGCAAAATGGCTTATTTCATTTTGTGTTGTTAAATCCGAAGTAGATGGCAAAGGAATATCAATTGATAAAAATTTTTCTTTGATAATTGTGTCAAGATTTGCATTGTTTGTACGTAAATTGAGAAATGTAGTTGATTTATCTTTATTGAAATAAGAGATCAGTAAGCCGATTGTTGTATATTCGCATAGAATGTGAAGATATTCATTCTGATCATCATACTCTTGAACAATTCGAGTACAAGTGGGATATTTTACCCAAAATCCTATATTGGAATGTATTTATATCAATATTTTGAGATTAACCAATTATTCAGATGGACAAATATCAATGCCACATTAGACTAAAGAACGAAGATGGTTAAAAAGCGAAATCGCCCTCCCCCTCGAAATTCGAGGTTGCCTTTGATCATTTTGGTTGTGAAAAGTGTATTTCTATCGAAAATAGACTGTTTAATACAATCCACACTATATGTGAGTAGATTTAGTTATTCTCTGATGGTTACTGTTGTTTATATTGTTTGCTATCAAAACTATTATAACAGAGGATATTCTAAGTTAATAGTTCAAC